TCCCCAGTAGCGATGGCCTCCAACCTAAGGGCGATGGCCTCCCTAGTGCCTCCAACCTAGGGGCGATGGCCTCATTTCGAGTTTGTTTTCTTTGCTTGCTGGGTGTGGACCAGGAGCAAGTTGCATCCATTATTCTTCCATCCGGTCTCGCCCCAGATTCCCAAACCTTGGACATCCTGAAAGCTCGCCTTGGGCTACAAACTGGCGACAGTGAATGCATTGTTCTGTAGCTTGGAAGCCAAACAAGTAGACAAAACTAAGACTAGGAATCTAGACTAGGAATCTAAACGGGTAGCCATTGAGGCCTCGGGCCATGGCCAGACGCGTGGCCAAGAGTCTGTCTGGGCTGGTGGTGCCGGGGACCTAACCGGGGTCTGGGATCCTTGTAATTTTGCACTTTTTGTTCGGCCACTGCCATTGCCATTGCTCATTCATTACTCTTTTGGGTGCTTGGACGCCCAGTGCAGGGAAACCATTGTCCAGAGCGGCGACATACGGGCCAAGCCCTCATTCTGGCGCTCAGTTTTCACAGGCATAGGGCATAGACAATGTGATGGAACCTCGCCTGAGATCATAGACCTGAAGCCTCCGACAGCTCAAGACGCAACCCTGTGGCGAGAGGACTGCCTGCTTGTGGCGTGGTGAATTTGCAGGTGAGAAGCCTGCTTCCGCAGGATAAGATTGCGATCCAGCCGATGCGCTTGCAAAGGCTCACTGCGGCTGCAATACTTGCGGCGATTGACCAGTGGAAACCGTCCCCAAGGCATCTACTTCAGTTTCAGTTACAATTGAGTCACGGGCCATGGGGAAGGCCTTAAGGTGGTGTTTTCTTGCGAAGGTTTTGTGATACCGATATGATTTAAACAGTATAATATGTCTAGTTTTTTGTTGGTACCGTCAGTTGATGGTGGCCGCCCACGCCAAACCAGGTCAGCCTTGTGCTCTTCAGCCAAGTACCACGTGGAAATTTACATCTCTGACGGAGCGTCCGCCAACACCCTTCTAAAGCACTACCAGGTACGAGTAGGGTTATGATTGCGCTGCAACTGCATACGCATGGACCTCCACCGCCCTATCAACCTGCACTGTTAGGTGACACAGCGTGCAAAGAATGGATTGGCAAGGGCCTCAAACAACCAACCAAGGACCAAAGGACAGAAGGGTCCAAAGTCAGAGTCAGAGTGACAAACGACTGACGGACAGACCGACGTGATGAAGTGACGTGAAGGGGACACGTCAGTCGCATGAAGATTGCGCCTAGGTAGTAGAGCTGTCGTGCCACTGCCACAACGTGCACCTGTGCAGCACTGCTCAATCAGACACTCTGGCTCCTCAGCCACAATCTCCGCTTTTGAATCGCAGTTGGTCAGTTGGTCAGAGTCAGAGTCACCAGCAGCAGCAGAAGCACATCTATATTTTGTTTACACTGATGGGATTGCGGGGTGGGGGGGGAGCGCGCTAGGATATGAAGCTTCAGTGGCGGCGTGCTCCAGGTGACCCTCTCCCTGACCCCCCATTACCGGCAGGTGGGAGGGGCCGTGGTCGTGGACGGGGGCGTGGGCGTGGGGCTGAAGTGGCGCCAGCGCCCGCAGCCAAATCGTCTTCTGCGACATCGTCGACCTTTCTTTGCAATCTGGTCAGGCAAGGGTCACGGTTACCATTTTGGTGGAGGCAGTAGGCAAACAGACAAAGAAAAAACTGTAGTTTTCGTAAATGTCAAGCCACAGTTGGCAGCAGCTGTGGCAGCTGAGTGAGTGACCACCCATCCCTGCCCAGATGCGCGAACCAGCTGAAGTGTGACACTGCTTGGCGGGTACTCTTGGACGCAGTGCCCGCCGTGATTTCTAAAAAGCTGCACTTCTCCACGGAAGCCCTAGGTCCAGAGCACCATGCCAACTTTAAACGTAACAAAGCTTGCTTGGAATTTCTTGGTTTGCTCCAAAAGGGAGCCAAAGAACTTGGTGCACCTGACCCGGATTCTGGGGCAACCCACGCACCAATGGACTACAAACGTGGGTACGGACACCATGAAGCTTGTATGGAACTGCTCCAGCCACTGTGCTCTGCGTAGGAATCTTGTTGTTGTTGTTGCTGTTGTTGTCTTTGTCTTTGCGATGGTCCCACCTTATATTAGCACATTGGATGGCAGCGGCAGCGGTCAAAACTAGTTGGGTGGCAGGTGGGGTAGGTGGGTGAGCAGGAGGTAAATTGTCGGTGCGATCAAATCAGCCAGTTCCTAGGCTAGTGGGCTTTGGGAACTGGGCTGACGAGTCCCAGATCATTGTCTATTTTCGAGCAGAACCTGGAGAGCAAGTGAAAGGATCCTTTGTGAAGCATTTGACCAACTTGGTTCGAGCGATCTTCATGAATGTGCGGCCGAGTCCACCAGCGCAAAGCCGTTGGACAGGCGTCTGCGCTGTGGCCAGGTTTTGCTTTGGCTTATATTCCTTTCACAATTTGCTCAAAGGCATTTTTGCATACCTGAAGCCAATTCCATCGAACAACAAAGGAAAGGGCAGAGGTAGAGGCAAAGGCAAAGGTGGGAAAGGTGGACGCAATGGCCGGGGCAAGGGGAAAGGTCAGGAGGAGGAGGATGGGCATGAGGATCAGGATGGCCAAGATGTTGATCCTGTCCCACAACCTGCAGGAGACCTTGATGTGGGCCCCTAAGCCTAAGACATGTGACTTTTGCAAAACAGGGTGGGCCCCTAAGCAAAGACATTCTCGCTCAGGCGCACCAGGCTGACAGCGGTGAGCTGTACAGGGCACAGGTCCTGCGACGAAAACGGTTGCTGTTTGAATGGCAGCGACCTTGATTTCAATTCCAGCATGTAAACCTTTGGGGCATGCGGCATGCGGCGTGAGCTGTTTACGGTTTACCCAGGTCGCAGGCAAAGGACACCGGCTTGAAGCTTTATT